GTTAAAACAATGTTCCAGCATTGCAACGCTGTGTTGCTCTAAAAATCGTCGTTGCGAATCGTCCCGTGTAACATCACCTTAAATGAGATATGTCACGAAATTTATCAAAATTCAAACCGCGGTAACCCGCAACATGGTCGCCAACCTGATTGTAACATCAGTAAAAATAACCCAGGTGCTTAAACATTGAAAACAAGGTATAATTGCATAGCAAACACAGATGGACGGAAGCCGGATGAACAAACCTGAAGAAGATTGAAACGGATTACAACTGTGTTTTTTGAAAACTTGTTGGCCTAAATGTTTTTGAAAGGTAATTGTCATTGCCTGTTAGTTTGATTTAATGCTTGGGAGAAAGGCATATTTTTCCCACACGAAGCCGTAATTTTTTAATTCACACTCTCTTGTCATTCACAAGTGATTTGTCAAGTTCCATAGCGAAAAAGGACGCTTCTTAAAGTGTCAATTCTTCTAGCTGGCCTAAAGAGACCCTCTAACAGTTCTAATAGGGTACATTAAAAGAAAAATGTTACCGAACTGAAATAAGTGACTGACCAGATTGACTGACCCACTGACTAGATTGTTTTCATCATTCAACAGCTAATTACTCCTGGCCTTTTTATCCAATTGCTAACCAGGCATTGTATGGTTACGACCAAGCAGCCAACAAATCTTTCAAAAGCGAGAAAATCCCAAATGGCGTCAGAACTCAGGTGGAAGATGGAATCCAGGCTCTGTTTGTGCCCGCAGGAGAACAAGTTGACCTTGGTGACTTTGCTGGTACGTGCATCAGTAATCCATATCTCTGTCAGAATTTTACAGTGTCATTTCTCTTTAAAACTGGAGCCGATAAAGATCTAAAGGTCCTGGATTCGGGGTTGAGTGCTGATGGCCAAACAGATGAGTACGAGTATGGCTGGTCATTTGAGATTTCTCTCTATTCTGGCAGTGCTGAAGTGACAGTCACCGGTGATGGCGCGGCCCGAGAACTGGCGGCTCGCAATTCTTGGATTCAAATAGTTTTTACTGTTGATTACGGAATAATATCCAGGAACGTAGTCCTCTATCAAAATCATAATGGCACACTAGTAGACAATCTGGTGGCATCGGGACAAAGTTATGTGAAGCAAGACAGGAACACGCGTCTGAAGCTTGGCTCCACATCCAACACAAAAGGGTTCTTTATAAGTAACCTAAACTTTATTGGAATTAAGCTGAGTGTAGAAGAAATTCAAGAACTTGGGAACAGGAGTTTTAAAGAAGGTATGATGAAGGGTCGGTTATTAAATGAAGTATAACTTAAATCCTTTTGCAGGGTAATTGTTTTAAGCAAGACAGAAAAAATGGACAGAGAAAGAAACGCCCATTCTAGCCCTTAGGAGATGTGAATTTCACCAAAGTTATTTTTAGACCAATGAACTACCAATCAACCAATTAATCGCAAATAAGTTTTCGCAGAGGTCCGCAAACTTTTGTTTGGTCTTAGAATTCAACAGTCGCCATTAAAATATTCTGCATTGTTTGTTGTGAGGCAGTTAGTCGCCCGTGGACTTGATGACGTTTTAAACAATGGATAAAAATGTGCGGACGTCTCAGGAATTAAGCTTTTGTTCCACTAAATCCCGTTCAAATAACTCAGCCAATGCCCGAAGATTTCATCTCTGGTCCAGTATTCTCTCTTGTTGCGTTCGACGTAAGGAGAACGCAACACATAAACTTGGGATTCTTGTGGTACTAAAGGGAGACCTTTTGCAGTACTCATTTCGTCTTACGTCTGCATTTTCTGCGCCATTTTGAATAATTTATCTGGTGGGCACAAAAATGTTAAAAATAATTAATTTAAGTTATGGTCTTAATTCGTTGCTCTTTATACTCGTCGACTCTCTTGACGTCGAATGTCTCGGGTTCCACTCCTGCCCATTGAGACTTTTTTCTTTTTTTCGTGGTCGTTTTGCTTTGTTTTGTTTCTTTTTTCGAAAAAAAAACATATAGGAAGCCTTTTGCAGCATCAGTTTATTAGGAAATAACGTCACATTTGACAGTAAACCTAAAAAAGCACGAACGCAGTTCCTAATTTGCGATTACCACTAGTTTTAAGTAGAATAATGATTTTCTAGTCTGGCTTAAAAGTCCACCAGACCCAAAGGTCTGTTAGTGGGCCGATTATGCAGTACATTCCGATTTGGTTAAAGACTAAGATCATGAGTTTTGTCTGGCTACGGGGATTAAGTCCGCGGCCTCCCGCTCTGCAGTTTTTAACATACAGTTCAATGAAAACACAATAGTTCAATATAACCACGCTAGAAGTTCAATAACAGCACATTTGTTCAATGTCATGTCACTCAAAAAGCATAATATAGAGCATTTACCTCCCTAAAGCTACCAACTCGTTAATTTAAGGAGAAATTTGAAAGTCCAATTATTTCTCAAACTGCGGCCTAAGTTAGCCCGAGTAGAGCCGTCGCCTCTCTCAAACAAAAACCAGGGTTGCCACTGTCAGGGAAAAGTCAGGGAAAGACGAAAAGTTTTCAAGGTCAGGGAAGAGTCAGGGAATTTGTTAAAAAGTCTGCGAAAATCTTTGATATTGGACAAAGTCAGTGAAAAGTCAGGGAATTCTGTTTTCTTCTTCAAGACTTTGAAATGCATTTTCTTTCGGAAAAGATGAAACGTACACAGCAAAGCAAGCAAAGCGATCAATTTTAACACTCTATGCCTGACACATGTAGTAGTTGTGGTCCGTGGTCGTCGTTGTAAATGCTTTTTTCCAAATTCCTTCTTCCTCTTTCAGCGAAAACCGGAAAGAGGTTGAAAATGAAGAGAAAAATATCGATGGCCAGCAAAAAAGCTAAAGCGAATGTAAACATCGATTGTTTCTTATTAATAAAAGGTCAGTGAAAACTGTTATAGATCGGTGAAAAGTCAGGGAATTTTTAACTTTCTGCTGAGTGGCAACCCTGATAAACGTCTCTCTGCTTGATATGTTTGAGGGGAGGAGGCGGCTGTAGGCAGGCTAGCCTAAGCTAGACTCGATCGGTTTGATAAACGAGACTTAGAGGTCTATACAAGAGAATGTAGAATGTATTGATGCACTCACTACAGTTTATTTCGCCAATAGCAATGGAGGCAAAGAACGTCACAATTGAGATTCTAGAAGCTCAAGTAATAATACCAGCAGATGCTGGCATGGCAGCGATACGCATACGCCGTCAGGGATTTCTTTCCATTGCTACTGCAGTGAAGTAAGTACTGAAACAGTCCATGCTAAAAAAGGAAAAATAGAAGAATGTAGCTCCTAATATGGTACGGCCAAAGGAGCTGAATTCTTATTATGGTATAGTTCGGGTTTGTAGATGGCAATGACGTTTTTATAGTCTTGAACCAGGTTTTTTGGTAGAGGAAAAAAACCAAATGAGCCTTCTTTCCTCATTAACGAGCCAGATCCCAGGCTAACTTTGTTGGCGTCCATGAGCAGTGTTTAAAAACTAGCCGGTATAATCATTAAACAGTCTCAAAATAAGCACTGAATATACATTTTTTGTCGAGGTGTTTTAATCAGTGTTATCAATTTCAGCACTGAAGAATACGTACCAACTCCTCGGAGTGGATGATCATAAGTGAGACCTCTCCCCTGGGGCTATGCTATGCTAATGAGTCCTAATGAGGACGAAACAGCTGTCCATGTCTGCCACTGCCTGGGTGATATGGTTGTGCGCATGCGTAAGGTACTCGGGCCATATCGCCGAGTTGATACGTGTGCTACAGGACTCCTTAAAACGTGTTCAGTGCTTTGCTGTCGTTGGTACGGCAGTACATATGCATGGTGCCCATTTGGTCAGGATGTACGTGTTACCCCACGGAGGGTTGACAAGTTTAAATTTAAGAGTTCATAGCATTATTACATGAGACTGAGTATGATCTGAAGACTTGTCCAGTTCGAAGGGACCAGTTATTCGTCGGCCTCGGCGAATAACTCCCTGCTATAGATTCACAATAATTCATACATAAGAAACAAACTTATATTCTTACTTCGAGCGATGTAAAGTTGCCTCTTCATTGGCTCGTTCCTTGGCAAATTACGGATTTAAAGGGATTGGTTACTCCAGCCGATGTTGCTCAAAAATCAATTGCATACGTTGAGTTATATCTTTGCTGTTTTTCGCCATGTTTTTGGGCATTAGTTCTGCTATCTTCTTCGCAAAATGTGTGAAATTTTCCGCTATTTTCTCTAGAACTACGTATACCAAGACGGCCGAACTAGCGCAACTTCGTCACAGAGCTTCTAGGTTGCTGTGCCTTTTCTTGAAATTACCCTGTAGCACTGACGTCATTTTGTCGGATATTGCAAACGTCTTCAAAAATTAAGTCAACGTTGACTGATCGTAAAGAATCAGTCGGAGGATTTGCGCCAGTCAGAAACAGAAAATTTTCTCTTTTTGAATTAATAGTGATATCTATCGTCTGTGTTGTATTTTCTTAAGCTATGATATGAAAAGCTTGACAGCGGAACCAAACAAACACTACAAGGCTGTTGCTGGGGAGCAACTGGCATTTGCTCCGGGAGAGATTTACAAGGAAGTTAAAATTGGTATCATTAACACGGATAACAGCTTTGAAGGCAACAAAACCTTTCAAGTCATTTTCTCAAGTTCTCAGAGGTCCGTGACAATGAAAGGACCGCAGCAGGTCAATGTAACTATCATGTACACTAAAGGTAAGTGAAATTCTTTTATATCTACCTGGTGTTTTGAAAACTGGGCTACTAAAAAATGTCAGTCTCTCTCCCACTGATTGTTAATTTAATGGCCCTTTTTTATTGGAAAAGCAAAATCTTACCAGGAAAAAAATATTGTATTCATCATGCATGCACGCGAAGCTCTCTTTATTAGGCTGGAAAATAGGACATTTTACGGATTTGTTCCATTATCAGCGTCGCCGATTGCAAAGCCATTCCCCCAATTTACCCAATTTTTCTATGCCATTGACCTCCCAAATACAATCCCCAACACCATTTCTCGAAGACAAGGGACGAAAAAACGGATTTACCGAACGTCAAAGGTGAACAAAGCCGAAACCATGTTTGACTTAACCTTTGACGCGCGTCAAAAGTGCAGTAAATCCAATTTTTCGTCCCGTGAGAAAAGAGGTCCTACAACCTCTAATTCAACTGCTTGCTGACTTGAAAACATTAGCAACAGCGTGTTTTATTGCTGGCATGAAAATTGCACCAAGAAACTGCGAAGGCCAAGCGCAGTAAAACCTACCCCCTGGAATTTAACCAGGCTACCCCAAATACACACCAGCTGATAGCCCTGTGCCTGTGCAACCAGCTGACCCTCACCTGGACAGAGACATTGAGCCCAGGGAAACAGGAATAAGCCTCCAACCCCAACCCCACCACCCTGGAATTTAACCAGGATACACCAACACCCACCTTGACAACAGCCCTCCCTCAAAAAAACAATTGCTTACTCAACGGGGGAAACAGGGTAGCCCGAACCTTCTCGAGCATTTTTTCAAGAAGTTCTAAGAATCGAGCAAGGAAGCATAGAAAGGCGGCAAAAGCCGGGTATACAAGGGATAAAGGTGTGAAGAACAAACACGGGATCTACGCCAAAACGGTTGTAATACCAGAAGGTCAACAAAGAAACCAGGAGAAACACACAGACGCTTGATCCACTGGGCAAGGAGGGGATACACTTTGCAAGAGATGGAAACGAAACCAACTGAAAACCACTATCCTCACGATGATGAATCACAACATCAAAAGCGGCCAGATCCTTCTTACCTTCCCAGAAACGCCCAAGAAGGCGTGGAAACAAGAGGAGCAGCGTACCAGATGCAGGACAGCGTCAGAGGGTTGGAAACCAGAGCGCGACCACCATACGACAAAGAGCGGTGGCGCCAAAAGTTAAAGCACTTCTGCACCGCATCAATTCGAGGCCTCCAGTTCACCTCACTTAAATCACTATTTCCAATAAATCCCGAGAACCTTGATCTCCGTGGATGTCCAAATAATATTAACAGGCCAGCGAGTCGGTACGACCACGCCACCTATTGTTTTTTGACGTTCTGGTTGCCGTTCGCTTAGTTGGATCTTAAAGACCCTATTAACGGCCAACACCTCCATGGTGAGCACATAGAGCAAAGGCGACAGGAACAACCTTACCGCACACCCCGCACCCCGAGAAGGTTTCAAAGACGGTGATACATAACCGTCAACACGGATAGAACTACGAATATCCGCATACAGACGTTTAACCCAGCTAATAAGAGAGGGGCTGAAGCCCATAGACAAAAGGGAAGACCAATCAAAACGGTCGAAGGCGTTCTCTTGGTCCAAAGACAAAATGGCCACAAAAAGATTGAGCTCATTCGCATAGGTGGAAACGTCATAAAGTAAAGCGACGTTTTTCCCCAATATAACGGGAAGGCACCCCACAGGTCTGATCGTGGGCCACAACGATGTCGAAATCTAAATGTCTGATCTGCATAGAGCATTGCAGCCCATCTTCAGCAGAGATGATTTTGTAAATCACCTTTGCATGGCGCTGTGCTACTGATCTTTTGAACATATATCTTACCAGAATAGATTATACACTGGGCAACCTCGGTTGATCACATTACTGAAGTTTACCTTGTTATTTTGGAGCAAGATAGATGTAATCAAAAATTCATAATGAGAACGTTCTTTGTGGTAGAAGAGCGATACCATGAATGCCAAACGTATCTTTAAAGTTTAATAATATGTTGTGTTCCCTATTCCTTTTTTGCAAGGTACTGTCCGATCAAAAGCAGCCACCACTGATGGTATGTATTTAATTTAAACTTGTTACAGTTACACTTGGTATTTTTACTTTAATTTTTACTTTTTTTTGCATGACCTTTCGGGTAAATTGCTAGTTATATCAGATTTTAGGCTTCACTAGTTGGTGTTATGTATCATCTTTTATTTATTTATTTATTTATTTATTTACACCACCACTTCTAACGTAAGATTACAGCATTACACTCAATTTGAGATAAAATTCATGGTACCATAATTACAATACATAATATCTTAATTAATCTTGAATAACAATACATGCACATTTTAACTTGAACAAGAACACTTTCATAAAATAGGTAATAAAGAAAGTGAGACAATGAGTGGTGAGGAGACCGCAGAAAGCCAAAGGCTTGTACAAGGAGGTCCTCCCTTGATTTGGTCATTGATTGAAATAATTTAGGACTAAGGGGCAGGACTTCAGTCAGCTCCAAAGTACGAGAAAGAAAGTCTCTTCTAATGTGTCTTAAAAAAAACCTGTCGGAAGAAGCATATTTTAAGTTTAAGCTGCAAAGAGTGATAATTGTTTCATTATTCATTCAAAACAATTTCCCAGTTTTACAAACAAACTAAAGCATACCTGCCCCGATCGATGTTATTAAGTTCCCGTCTTCCAACTTTGGCTGTTTTTTAAAAAGTTCGGGAGATAAAAAGGAGTTTTGTTCTGCTTAAATTCTACAAATAGCAGATGTCCGTCGAGTTGTATTGTTTCTGTTCTTGCTATGTTTTTAGGCAGCAGTTTAATAGGCTATTCCTTCTTCGCAGAACGTGACTTTGAAATGTCCCGCCATTTTGTATTGCCCTACCAAAAACCGCAACCTCGACCCCAGGTCTTCTCGCTTGCCCTCCATACGTAAACTTTAAGCGAGGACTGCTGCAGATGGCAGAGATGGTATTTTCTTAGGCAATGTTCACACTATTCCGTATAGCTTTCGCAGCGGCACGAAAATCATACCAAATAAGGCTACTGTTCACACATAATAACAGTGATTTCTGTAACCGAGTGAATTTCTTAAGTGGCTGAGTCACATATCGTATAGAAGTTCATGCTATACTGGGTAGATTTTCGTGTCGGTACGAAAAGCTTTCCCCTATAACATGAACACAGCCTTAATAAGTGGTCTAGCCCGTTCCAGGCTCCTAGATGGTCGGGTCCGCGAAATCGACAAAGCACGAACACGAAACTGATAGGCTGATTTAGCACCAGAACGGCAACGTCATTTGACGACGGGAAAGCGCGCGGAAAGCACTAAACTCGACTTCCGGTACCCAATTTGCTGCTCTACCATTGGTCAAGCCAGTTGTTTGATTTGCGCGCAGAGTCGTCAACAGACGTTCCCGTTCTGTTGTTAAATCAGCCTAATAAAAACGCCACCCCTTCCCCTTATCAGATCACGCGCTCATATTTTCGCGTGTTCTC